AAATAATGTGATACTGTAAAAAAAATACGAAGTATTTATTTGAGCTTTTATGAACCCTAAATATTTCTTGTTTTGTCCCACAAATTGAATTTCTTTGCACGTTTTATTTGTTGGCATCTATTTCTCCATTTTAGGGTTTAACGTATTAAAAAAAAACTATTGGAAAAGCAGTTTATATTGAGTAATTTGGTTTAAAAAACWAATTTTTAACAGGTTTTTGAGAACCATATAAGAATTAATATTAAAACTGCAATTATTTCCACAAAAACAATTAGGATCCTAAAAGCTTTCATTTCTTTCTGAAAACTTTTAATATTTTCCAATGTGTTGGTACTTTTTCAGCGACAACCCCTTTAATGTCCTACTTTGACTTMTTTTTCCCCAGTGCTCTTCATTTACTGGGTGTTGGCATTCATCACAAAGTCCATAAAGCTGTGGAAGTTTGCAGAATTCACTGTTGGACCGCGGCACCTGAGGTTCTGCATCACAGCTCTGTTGGTGATCCTGTATGGACTTCTGATGGCCGTGGAGATCAACGTCATCCGAGTCCGGGTTCGTCACTTTTCAACCAGCATTACTGAAGGATCACATTTACTTTTTTTTTTAACACTCAGACGTTTTCCCTCTTGTGTTTTTGTAGAAATACGTATTCTTTACCAACCCTCAGAAGGTGAAACCACCAGAAGATTTACAGGATTTGGGGGTTCGCTTTCTGCAGCCGTTTGTCAACCTGCTCTCTAAGGTAGATAAATCCAGTTTAGACAACTAACTAAACTAAACTGCAGCYCAGCTTATTTTTATCTAACTCAGTTTGATCTGGGGGAGATTTTGTTGGCATACAGTCACAGAAAACAGCAAGTTTTTGGCACCTTCCTAGGCGACATATTGGTGGATGAATCCTCTCATTATCGGAGCCCATAAGAGGCCGATAGAACTGAAGAAGATTGGCAAGTTGCCCATCGCCATGAGAGCGCTCACCAACTACCTGCGACTCAAAGACGCCTACGAGGATCAAAGGGTGAGCCGAGTAGATGATTTAAGCTTACTTTGGGTTATTTTAATGCTGTAAACTGTCTTTTCCATCCACATCTCGCTGCTCAGACACCTGAAGACCCAGATCGACCCCCATCGATCTGGCGCTCCATGTATCGAGCGTTTGGCCGTCCCATCCTGCTCAGCAGCACCTTTCGTTACCTGGCGGATCTGCTGGGCTTCGTTGGACCTCTCTGTATCTCTGGCATTGTGAACAACCTGGATACCAAAGATAAAGTTGCTTCAGCAGAAAAGATGAAGGTGAGTTTGGAAGTCTTGTAGTTAGTCTYTTACATTGTCAATGTTGCATTATTTCTTAATTTTTGATCTGTGGAGGTCTAATTCACACCAGGTTTGTTATAAATCAAAATCGACCTGAGTGGAACTTGTTGCTCAACAATAACGCAGGTCAAATCCCCTTTCTGACAGCACATTAAAGAGAGTGAAGCTGACAGAGAGAAACCAGAGGCTCCTACAAACAGTTGGCAAAAGAACAGTTCTGCTGCTCATAGATGTCCATGTAATCCTTGCCAACCTCCTCTAAAGGTCGACCTGMAAGAGAAACAGAGCAGATGCTTTTTTGAATGACTGTATTTTTTCATACATGCTGGCTGGACCTTGTTATATCATAGTCAGGTGTGTTTAAGAGGGTATAGTGGGTAGCTGAGATAGAAAACAGAGCAGGGCTGCATTTCAGAGTGATGTGGAAAATTCCCCACTCACCTCACACTTTGTTAGTTTGATGCTGAGGGAGGGACTGCCGAGTTTCGTGTTCGGCCTCTGAGTCCACGGTGCCCGCCAGCATTTATTGGAGCTTTCGTTTTGTGTTGTTGCTTTACAACCTAAAGTTTGAAGGTAATCTTTGTGGGTTTGCATGTCAGGGTGCAGCAAGTTACAGCAGCACTTAACTGCTACATTGGTACATCTTGGAGGTTTTGTCYATTCGTGACCAAACTCCTCTAGCTCCTTCAACACAATCAGCATAATCAACGACAAAGTTTTCCCAAGTCCTATCTCACCCCACATCATGATGCTGCCACCACCGTGCTTCTCTGTTATGGTGTTCAAACCATAAGAGGTGTTAAGTTTGTGTCAGAAAGACCGTGGTTGACATTGGCCACAGTCTAAGTGGACCGTAGGCAACTYGTGTCGACTGCATAAGTATGAACACGCTCTGCCTCTTTACCATGGTGATACGTTTTATATCACATTGTTTCAGTTGTTCTTTCAAGGTATAACGTCACAAAATTTGGTTTTATTAGAAAAACATTTCAAGTAAATAAATAATAAGCCTTACTGTTGTAGGTTTACCTCCAGTATCAGTACTTGTAACCGCATTCTATTTAACATTTCATTGCAACACAAGTTTTTTTCAACTATGTTGCTCAACTTACATTCTTCGGTTCGTGATAAATTTCCAAAGTCTGTCATAAAAAAAAAAAGTAAAAAAAAACAAAAAACAACAACAACTCTGCTGTCTTTATTTTCCTGTTTAATATGTTGACGGCGCAATGAATTCTGGGATGCCATTGGCCGCGAAGGACACTCATCTGCAGCCTACGTTTTCGGGGTTATGTCGGCTGCAACCCATGAATTGAGACACAGCCCTAATGTCCTTGATGACCAAAAGAGATTGGTTTTAGTCTAATCTGACCCCAGAGCATTATCTTCTGCATGCTTTGTGAAGAAATTCAAAACATTTTCTTTTTTCCTTAAGCATTGTTTTTTTGTTTGTTTGTTTTTTTTATCCCGCCACTCTTTGCAACTTATAGTAGTGCCACCGTATGGACAGGTCCTCCCATCTCTGCAGAAACATTGCTCTCCTAGATCAGTCTGTAAACTTCATTGATGGCCCTTTTGGCAGGTGTGCTGGTGTGGCATTGTCTTTTCATTTTCTGATAATGAATTTAACGGATTGCTAAAAATTTCAAACCTGGGAACACCTTGGAATCCTCCTGGAACAACTAAAAGAGGCCTCTCTGGTCAACCTGCTGCCCCCATGACCCAATTCCAGAAGAAGCAGCACATTATGGATGTATTATTTTGTGTAATCAACCAATTAAACATTTGCTACARTTAACCTTTCGTTTGTGCTTGTAGGAAACCTATTTAGGAGTTTACTTCATGTTCACCACTGAGCTTCTAAAGAACAGCTCAGTCCTGGCTGTCCTMCTGTTCTTGGCTTTAGTCCTGCAGAGGACCTTCCTGCAGGCCTCATACTACGTCACCATTGAGACGGGCATCAACCTGCGAGGAGCTCTGCTGGTGAGTGAAGCGTCAGGCTGCTGCTTTGTCTAGGATCTGTGTGATACCTCGGCAGTTTGCAGTTTTAAAAGTTTAAAAAAGAAAGCAGATCAAGTGTAAAGAAGCTTTGTTGCATACCAGTAACACAAACTGGAGGGAAGATTTAAAAAAAAAATCAGGGTTGATGGTAGGGTTGAATCTAAATATAGATTATTAAAACAGTGAGAGAGCATTTCTTCATAACTGTTCTGCCAGCCGTGTTTATTTAGACAAGTCGCTCAGTGGGATGAAGCTGCAGGCGTTTTCAGAAAATGTCACYGAACCTCTCCAGTAAAATCCAGGACCCATTTATTCATAAAAGCTTATGTAATATATGTAAACGTCCAAACAGATAACCAGTGAGAATATTAAACCAAAGACTCATCCCATTAAACTGTCATGTTTTGGTCTCATCAGTGGTTGATCTAGGATTTTTCTGAGTAAGGGGCCATCAAGGGGCCACAAAATTCATATAGGGGCCAAGCATTTGTTCAACATCCTTGCACATAAATCCTCGGTTTGGATAAGGTGTATAAATTTAAGCGGTCACATATGTTCCAACAATTGTAACGTAATGTAATGTTATTAAAAATGCTTAAATTCTCCTTATCAATTTTACATATATTTTTACTGTACATGGATAAAATAGTCTCAAAGCATGTGAGAAAATGAAGCCATTGTTTGCCCGTTGAAAGATTTTTTTTTTTTGCAAAATTGTTCATGTGTTTGAAAGGAGAGAAGAAAACTTCTGTAAGAGGGGCCCTTTCCCAATCAGTGGCTACACACTCGCCCTAATCCCTACAAACTACACTCGCTGTGAAGCACCCTCACAGCTGAACTGAGTCTCCTTGATGGCACTGTCTTATTTTGACATGTTCATTATACTTTTACTCAGTAATGGTGCCTTCACACCGAACGGGATTTCAGCGTCAGGAGCAGCAGGTTTACATACAAAGTCTATGGTGGACGCG